CCTGGTGGCCAGCTGAGCCCAGGATGGGGACAGGCGCTGCTAGGACTCAGGCTGTGGAACCATTGGAACTCAGCCCTTCAGCAAAACATGGGAACTCAGTGTGGACGAATTGCAGTGCACACCTTATTTAGGAGGCAATAACGGGTGGTTTGGAAATTTTGGTTTCACCTCGAAGCCTCCACAGTGAATTAAGGCGCTCGGTTTGTTTGGTCATGTTGAAAGAACACCATGACTACAAAGGAATGTATACTTTGTTTTTGTGCAGATGCATTATCAAGACCCTCCTAAGTGGCAACAAAGACTGCCCTACTTGTTGGGAAAAGCTAGTTTCCAAAGTATTGCTAAGGTCAGACCCAAACTTTCATGCCCTGATCAGCAAAAATGTACCCAGGTTGTGATGAATGTAAAGCGCGTCAAGAGCGAGTATTTGCCAGGATCAACAAGCACAATAGCCAGCAAGCGCTCAGGCACAGCCCCGAGGAAGGATGAAGATGCAGGCCTTGAACCAGCTGCAGTGAGGCAAAAAGCAACAGATTGAAAATGGTCATGGAGCAGAAGGTAATGGCGATAGTTCACACGGTCAGAATGCATCTACACATAGCAATCAGGAAGCAGGACCTGGTAACAAAAGGACCCAAACACCTACCTGATGATTCTAGGCTTGTCCTTGATAATAACCATGCAACAGTGGCAATTGATCTGAGTCATGGACGGGGCTAGTGAAATGGAGTTAGTGTTCAGGCCTCCTCCCACACTCACAGGAAGGGATGACAGTGCACAGACAAGGCGCATGAAGACTTCAGGTAACGCCATGGTTGATCATTTATCCAAGTATCTAGCAGCAAAGCTAGCCTTAGAAGAACTTCGAAGCAAAGGAGAATGAAACCAGATGAATCTCAAAACAGCCAGTGAGAAGCAGTACACCATTTATGTAGCAACAGCCCGCGGCCAGTTCACTGGATTCAATGGCTCGTTTTCTTTGGAATTGGACAGGGAATTGACTCATGGAACTTTATTATGCTCTCACAAATGAGCACAAAAGAGCTTTTACTAAACAACAATTCTGAAAATGAACCTTTTCATAGTCTAGTTCTTTAATACTAAAGATGTACCACCATTAAATTTATGGACAGAATCTTGGATACCACCCCCCACCCACCCCCGAGCCACACTTGGTTTATACTCTAAGAATCTTTCCCCCCTAGTTTAAGATTTCCTTTTTGGAAGGGATTGCAATTATACAGTACTTTTTCTTTCTTTTAAAAAATCTTGTGTTTTTTTCCCCCCAAAGTGTGGTTTCATTCTGGAGGACTCTTTAGACTTGGGAATTTTCCACAGTTCTGTATTCGGAAGTGAAAATTCACTTTGGCCATCCTTTTCCCTCTGAATCAAAGTTTTTTATGCCTACAGAATGTATTCTGATGTAATACATATTCTGACTTATTTCCCTCCCCAGAGTCTTGTATATTTATAGTTTTCTATATAAACTATAGGGTCTTCATGAAGACCAAGACTCAAACATTCTGTGCTTAAAAACAATTCTCATAGGATTATCATTTTCATGGTATTTTCTTCCATAATATCTGATTTTAAGAAGAGGTGCTTTATGAATTTAGTGTCCATTGTCATGCAATGTTATTTTTACCCCCTGTAGTAATTTTTGAATTTCTGATCCTGGGGAAGAGCTTCAAATACTTAACATCTTAGGTTCTATGAGAATTCGATTCATATACAGATTTCAGTGAAGAAAAGATAATTGATAGTCTTCAAATGTATACTTAAAGAGATCTTTCCCCCCAGGACTAGTTCTAGTGTCACTTCAATTTCTTTTTGATGTGTGTGATATATGTTTGCCTCTTGAAATACCAGAAATGTGGGGATATTTTGCACTTTGCCCTGGTGAAAAGTACAAGATGTGTTCAAAGCTTCCCCTTCTCATTTCTCATTGGCAGCCACATACCTTTAAAGACTAACCATGGCACATAGAACAGTCGGAGGAAGGGGGTTGGCTTCACTTTGAAAAATGTGTTTAACATATTAGGTTACTGTAACAGTTTATAAATTTGGTGCTCTGCTAATTAAACACTCTAGAGAAAGAGATTAACCAGGACTTCAAACCAGTTCATTACTTTTGACCCTGTGTGGGGAATTGTATTGCCAGCCAATCTGTGGTTGATATGCAAATTCTCATCAGTGGGTAGAAAGCCCTGAGGTTAAAAGAGCTGGAACCCTAGCTTGGTGTGTAGTGAAAAGCAATTTTGTAGGAAAATGCCCCTCGTAACGTCATTCTACTCCTGTTAACTTAGTTTTACTTTGGGGGACAGTGTTACTGTTTGGGAGCCAGAAGGCTTTATGCTGACAGGTCAGAAATAAGATTTGACTTGTGTCTTATTTTTCATCTTTGTTCTGGCTCTGTGTATGTTTCCAGGTTTACATTATCACAGTATTTACAAAGACATGTTTGTATTGAGAAATGACACCTCCTAGGGGTTTTGATAGGAGGGAGTACTCACTTGGTACCATTGTAACTCAAGCCTGTTTAGTTGTAACTATTTATCTGTCAATTTTGACACTTTGGGGCCAGCTTGATATTTTAAATCATCAGCCCAATATGAAAACTTAAAAGGCTTAATTCATTTTTGTTACTATTTTACTTTTACTATTTTATCTTTACCTTTACAGTTCTTTTTTGTAATCTGTGCCATGAAATTTCAAAATCACCAAACCTTTTTTGGTGTAATGTTAAGTTGTATAGATTATTAATACATGTCCATTGAACATAATCCTGGTTTTGTGATAAAACTGCTTAACTTTTAATTGGCAACATGGGTAGTGGTTACACTAAAATAACTAAATTCCCATTGTGGTTATTAATTGGAGTTTTGTCTTAAGCAAAGATAGATTTGTGAACACAAGCTTTGTATGTGTGCTTATCTTTCAGTATGGAAGGATGAGAACTTTGCATCATTAGTGAATTTATTGTGTGATATAATCCTTTGCAGAATATGATTATAGGTTATTTGATAGAGAAAAAACCAAAACTGTGCAACAAAAACGGCCTGATATGGGAAAGATGTGGGACTGGCTTGGTTCCCATGACAACGCACCTGATCATGCAGCCATCTCAGTGCGCCAGTTTTTTGGCAAACCCAAAACCAAAAAAACAGCATGCCTCTCTTGCCCCACACACCTTACTCACCTGACCTCACTCTGTGCTACTTCTTTTTGTTTCCACAAATGTGGAGGGACATGAAAGGACTACAATCTGAGGACTTAGAAGAAATGAAGGGAAAACAAACAAATGAGGGAGGTGCTGTCAGCAATACAAACGGATGAGTTTGAAAAATGTTTCCAAGAATGAAATCACAGATTTGACAAATATATTAAGTGTCGTGGAGAGTACTTTGAAGGTGATAAGGTTGTTTTGTAAAAAAAATTTAAATACATCGCTTGGGTGGGGGGGATTCAGCTTTTGGGGGGTGGGAACCCCCTCGTACAGCTACTGTTTTGTGGATTCCAAGCTTTAATCATGGGTGCTTATTATAAAGAAGTTTCAAGACAATTGAACGCTTCATCAATTAGTAAAAGGGCAGGAAAGTTCATTGAGTGAGCATTTTTTTTCATCACGTTAATGCACTGCTCATTCAAGAGTAGCAAAGGCTGTCTGATGAGAATTTCATTGGTACACCTTACCTCATATACCCCTCAACCCCAATCATGCCCTTTCAGACTGCATTTTGTTCCCCGAATTAAAAAACAAGCAAACAAACCATTGAAAAGGGACATGATTTTATTTTCTTGAGGGTGCCCAAACCGCTGTGTTGATGGTATGATGCAAATTGAAGCATGCAAGATTCTTTGAGGTAGGGTTGAAGAGATGGAAACACCATCTTCAGATGTGTATGGACCTAGAAGGAGGGTATGTGGGAAACAATCACAAATAGCATCGCATTTTTTGGTGTGTTTTTGTTTATTAGTGGTTTCTTTGACTTTCTGGTCATTCTTTTTGACTTAGCCTCAGAAAGCGGGCTCATGTTCTGGATTCTGTCAGGCCTTTGCTCAACTGTTACCTTCTTGCCAAGGCTTTCTTTTAGATTTAACTTTCCCCCACTCACTTCCCTCCATTTCTTTCCCACTGCAGTGTAAATTCCATGAGAGCAGGAATTTGAGTCTTTTTTATGGATTATAGTCCTTGTACCTACAAGGATCCCAGGTTGGGCTCAAAACCACCAGCTGCTCTGTAGGAGAAAGACTTAAAGAAACTAAAGGGGCAGGCACGTCTACCCTGCCTAATAGGCTTGTTAAAAGTCCGCATCAACCCGATGACAGTGAGTTTTGTTTTATTTAAAACTCCTGGTGCCGAGAAGAGCGCCTCGTGTGGAGTAGTGCTTCATAAATAGTGAATGAATGCTGACGCGTGGTAGACATAATGAACATTCTTTGCGGAAGGCTTTTGTCCTGGGGCCAGCCCTGTATGTCCAGTAGAAGATGTTAGCTGTGGGGAGGATTTCTTGATTCATTTTTGTCCCTTCATTTTGGGCAGGTGGTAGCAATGGAAAAATGCATTGTGTCACCCTCAAATCTCACCTCCTTCTGCATGGTCTCTCTCACCCTCCAGTTCACTGAAAGATCTTCCTTTATTAGAGGACTCGATGCCCTCATGGTCTCCACCCATACCATGGACTGGGTGTTTACTGCTCTGCACAGTCCTTTCTATATATGTGTCTTTGTTGGTGTGTATATGCAGTGTCTCCCTGTAAAAATCATTGGCTTCACCGAGGCATGGAAGGGACCTCGCATATCTTTCAGGCCGTCACTGACACCTCACACAGAACTCCATGTGGACCAAGTCCAGTACATGTTTGGTTGAATTAACAATTTAATAACCTTATCATGGGGGCAAGTGTTAACACCCTGAGGTACCATTTGGAGAATTGGGGGGCTGGGGGATTCTAAGTGACTTCTTTCTGTTTTTTTCTCCTTTTTTTTTTTTTAAACAGGAGACAGTCAGGAAGACAGTCCATGCGAAATACTGCAGCAGGTTTGTCCATGCTCCCTGGAAGGATGGGAGCTTGGTCCATGTCCATGTTACCAAGGAGAAGTGCCAGTGGTACAATGAGAGAATTCATACGTTCCTGGCTCAGATTGAAAGGAGGTTGGTGTCTTTTCAGAATAGTATGACAGTTCCAATTTCCTTTGGATTTGAAATCTGTTAACCTTTCGGTAACAGCTTGATCAAGAGAAATGACCAGTAAACATGGTTAGGTCGAATTTGTCATGTGATGACTTGCTGATAGCCATCACTTGTTTTATGTTAAGCGGCCTTGATGCCAGTTTCTTTAATATAGCAAATGGTGGCTATGCTTATCACAGTGGTTGTGCATTACTGCAGGAGGCTAAGAAGTGTTTCCACTCACACCTTGCCATTCTTGTGGGCTACAGGTAAGACAGACTATATTACACCTGTTCTCTGTACTCTTCAATACTATATTACAAGGCAATCGCTACACCGATGTAAAAGATTTTAACAGAATTAAATAGTACCTGTTTTTAGAAACTCTGCTAAAAATAACTTCATGAGCTCTCTGTACTGCTGGATCTTAAAATCTAGCAATGCTCAGGGGTCTGGTGTATTAATACTGTAACCTCAGGGCAGCTCAATGAGGATCATCTACTTTAACACCTGTCAACGCAACCCTACGCCTCCTCTGATGCCAAATTTAGACCAGAAAGAACACATTTATTTAGGGCACATGGGGTCAGAGAGAGCTGGGTTCTTACCCCAGCGTTTCCACTTGCCAGGTGGCCCTGGGAAAGTTAGGTAATGTCTTTGTGAACCAGTTTCCTCGTTTCTAAAGTGGACAGTCTCACTGCTGCCTGTGTTCCATAGATTCGATACTGTATCAGATTGGTTGAGAACAGGACTTAGCCTGTCGTAGACACTGGAAAATGAAAGCCTCCTCCTTCCTGATAGGCCTGAGGTTTTTCTTTGTGGGGAGGTTTGTGAACTATGCATCAGGTGTCTTTACATACATATAGAATTGATATTGGCAATTAATACTTTATTTTCTAATCACTCTGGCTGACAGTTATTCATTTTATTGTTCTCTGCAAAGAAGCAGCATTGTTTTATAATATGTTTTCTCTCCATGGCGTTGGTTTCTGCTGCATCCCTGTGATCTCCTTTGTTCTTCTTGTTTTGGGTTTCTCTTGCTGAAAACGGATGCAGAGATCATTGATTTGGAGTTCCCCAACTCAACACAAGCAGCTAATTTTATAAATTTCCCTCTGGTTACTGCTGTAGCTGCCTCGCACAAATGTAGATAAGTTGTGTTTCGTTTATATTCACTGCAAGATAGGCTCTAATTTCTCTTGTGCTTTCCCTCTGAGCAAAGGATTATGTGGAAATGTGTTGTTTACTTTCAAGATGTTGGTGGCTTTTCCCTATAGCGTTTTGTTATTAATTTCTATTTTAATTTCCCTGTGGACATAGAAATACGTTATATGGTTTCAATTCTCATAAACTTGAGACCTGTTTTATGTCCCAGGATGTGAATAAAAACATTCTGCTTTGGTTGGGTAGAGTATATTATATATCTCAATGACCTCAAGTTGTTGGATAGTGGTGTTCACGTCTTCTGTATTGTTACTTATGTTCTGTGTGATTACTCTATAAATTATTGAGAGCTAAGTATTAAAGTCTCCAGCTAGAGTTGTAGATTTGTCCATTACTCATGTTGGCTCCATCAACTTATTCTGCACACATTTTGAAGCTTGGTTCATAGAGCTCAAACATAGAACAAGCGTGAGGTGCTGCGGCACAGGGCAGTATTGTGTTCTGTTGTACAAAGGGTTGCTGCAAGTCAGAACTGACACAATGGCACATACAACAACAAACAACTGTATTTATTGGAAGATATAGACTTAGAATAGTTATAGTCTGTCAAGGAACTCATTTCTGTATCATTAGAGAGTATCCCTTTTTAATCCCTGGTAGTGTTGTCCCCAGTAGGGCTATGGGTCAGTGAGGGATGTTGTGTCTCATAGGGGCCAACCATATGGTCCTCTCTGTGCATTGGCTCCTCTGAGTAGGGATATCATCCTCAAGGCTTGGTGGGCCAGGATGTGCTCCACTCTCTCTTCCTCCTCCTTCATTTTCTCCTGTGCGCTCTGATCAGACATGTCCCTCTCCCTAAACTGTAGCTTCAGTGCTGTCCTCTGAAGTAAATTCTTCTGGAGGGAGGGAGGTGCTATCCACATAGTTGGGATTGGGGCTGGCTCCTCAGACCTCTCTACTGGTTCCCTGCTTTATGGTGGTATGTTGCATTCACATCTTGAAGCACTGGGTTGAAGTCTGGTCCCTCTTTCCCTATGGAAATATAAACCATACCTCCCCATTGAGTGGATTAGTGCCCTGTTCCCCTGTTTCTTTTCCCCCCTTCTTTTTAGGTTACCATATGTATCCCTGGATTTGGTCCAGCCCCTGCCATACTACTTGGACCTCAGCCCAGGAATGTTTGTATACTGTAGCTTTTGCCCTATGCCCCCTTTGAATTCTTTTTTTAAGCTTATCCTCAGTGGACTCACGTTGTACTTGTCCTTTTGTGCTTGGCTTACTTCGCTTAGCATGATTTCTTCCAGTTCTTCCCATGCAGCGATGTGCTTCATATGTTCATCACTGCTTTTTAGCGATGCGTAGTACTCCATTGTATGTAT